GTTATTGCCTAATCTAAAAAATAGGGAAATTTTAAACATGGTTTAGCTTATGATATCCCAAGTTGAAAAAACCTGTTTTTTTTTTTTAATTCATTTTATTTTATTTATACAAGCTCTGGGTACAGTCAGAAGCGCGGGAGGGTGAGAGGGTTCACCAGAGCCAGAGTGGGGAGCAGAGCAGGCAGATTGACAAAATTCACTGCTGAGGGGAGCAGCGGGCAGCAGGAGAGGTCTGCGCGCCATGTGGGACCCTGGCCTGGCTGCCGGGGTTCGAACCAGTGCTGCAGAGGCTGCGGGCAGCTTCACAACCCAGCTCTTAGCTGCTGCGCCACCGGGGAGGCCCCAAAACCTGTTTCTTTAAAAAGAAAAAAACTATTTCTTTAAAAAGACTGATAAGTAGCAAGTACTTATTGCCAAGCACTGTACGTTTTGTGTCATTTCATTCACACACTAACCTTATCAGAAAGAGATGATTAATTGCCCATGATATAGTTATGGGAGCTGAGGATTGGACAGATTAAACAACTGGTCCAGAATTTCACAACATGGATAAAAATGTTAAATATGCCAACATAAATTTTTAATTGTACTCTGGATTCATCAGTGAAGAGCTTTCCGCTGGGAACACAAGTCAGACTTGAGAACATGATGAGAACAAATGATAACAAGTGTTTGTCATTGTCAATATGACTCAGCTTTTCACATGTATGAACTCATGTAATTATCACAACACTGTATTTTCTATCCACATTCAAAAAATTAGGAAACCTAGTCACAGAGAGGCTAAGTAACTTGCCCAAGTTTGCACAGCTCATAATTTATTGATGCTAAGATTTAACCCAGAGAGCCAGCACACAGTCTGTGCTTATAACCACATTCTTCAGTCTGTGTCCTAAGAAACCTGGACTATACTGAATCACCTGGGGCAGGCATCACCCAGCATGAAAGCATGAAGGATAGTCAGTAAGTTGTTATCCAAACAACAGAAGCAGGGGGGGCAGGAGGAGGGGTGTCTTTCTGCTTATGCCTTTGGCTATATGTGCACATATGTATGTCAAATTACGAGTAAAGAAATGTCTAACCCTCCCCCATGGAATTAGCTCATGCGAAAGGGAAAATAGCCTCTCCAGGTTAAGCTCTGCAGAGTGGGGTAGTCTACACTCCAGCCCCACCTGACCAGGGCAGGAACATCTTTGGGAAGCCCCCATGTGGGAGTCCCTGCCCTGGCTGGGCAGACTGGGGAGGGTGCTGTCAGAGAGCTGGTCCCTCCCCATGGCTTCTACTTGGTGTCACCTTCCAGCAAGTACTGGGTGTGGCACCTAAGAGTCACACTTGATGTCTCCCAATTTACAGGAAACTGGCCAGGAGAACCTAATTCAGAAATAAATACTTAACCTATTACCACTTCAGTAAGGTTGCTGACTGCTGGCTAGAAGCCACTCTGGGGAATCCACATTACACATTTCTGAGCGATTGTCTTTAGCCTGGGTGGTTTCCTCCCTCCTCTGGCTAGTTTTGCATTAAAGTGGAAAGTGTGTTAAGACAACCATTAAAAAAACAGACCCAGGGAATTTGAGGCTTTTAAAACTCCCCTACATGCAAATAATCCAGTATTTCAAGGCGAAGGGTAAAAACCCATTGATAACCACGGTTATTTCCCTGCTGCTCTCAAAGGTCATCTTTGTGGACAGTATTATACCAAGTGTCTATTAAGTTCATTCATTGATAGCATAATAGTTTTCCTCACTTTAAAAGAAATGATGTGTTTTTAATATAAATGTTGGTCCTATCAAAAGATGTATCAAAACTCTTTCACTAAACAATAAGTTTTTCTTGAAGATGAATCATTGTTGGGTGACTTCATCTTTTTCATATAGTTCTTAGGAGTAAAGAACCATTAGGGCCTCCCTGGTGCAAGGAGTTAAGTCTCAGCACTATGAAGCTATGCTCAGCCACTGCAGCATGAGTTCGATCTTCTGGCCAGGGAGCTACCTACATGGCACAGCAGACCTCTCCTGAGTCACCCACTGCTCCCCTCAGCAGTGTATTTCAATAGATCTGCCTGTTCGGCTTCCCACTCTGTCTCTGGTGAATCCTCTCACCTCTCTGCACCTCTGGCCTACACCCCAGTCCTTGTATGCATAAATAAATAAAATAAATATTTTAAAAAGAAAGAAAAGAGCAGTTAATTGAAGTTCCTTTTTATTAAAAAGCATTTTCTATGCAATCTCAATCTATAATACCTGTTTTAAATTCCAACGATTGAATGCCCACAGCAGTGATGATGATGATGATGATATTAATGATAACAAATGCCAATCACTTTAAACATCTCACACGGATTTCTGTTGAAATCTCAGCGCTCCCCAACCTTAGCAGAATGACCCCAGGCAGCCAGGGTCCCCATCTCATTATGGGAACTGGCTTACCAGTTCCACTTACCAAGACTATGAGAACTTAAATCAGGTAATCTCTCTAAATTCAGTTTCCTTTTCTGTGCAATGAGGATAACAGTAAAGGTTGAAGAGTAAATGGGAGGATGCATGTTAATTCATGCTCGTGTGTGCCTAGCATAGTCCCCAATATAGCTGCTGCTGTTTTCCCCATTCAGCACATAAGCACTTAGCCTGGAGAGATCCAGGACCCATCACTGGTCTCAGATTCATGTCTCCAAACCCCTGACCCTTCTGTGTGCTCTGCCTACCATGAACACTTGGGTTGCGCGGGGCGGGGGTAGGGGCGATTGTAGACTGGTATTGGATTCCTCTAACAGCTGCCCTGCTGGGGATCCACCATTGCCTCTTGATCCTTTCAGTAAGCCCTTAAGTCTTTTAACCAATCTGGTTGCCTGTTTTGAACTTGATCCAATCTAAATAAACCCATAGTACCTATGAAATTCACAAGTAAGCTTAGCAATACAGTACAGGGTGTTCAGAGTTTTATGAGGAAGGATTATGCTGTAGTTCTGTGGGGGTGAACCTGAAATGGCATCCATCTTCATTAAAGTGACTGGTATTACAGACACATGTCGAATGTGTCATCTACTGCCTTGTTTGTGCCCTGTCATTTCTGCCTTCAGGTTTCTCTCTCATACAAAAACACAAAATATCTCTCCCCCTCTTTTCTTACACATATAAAATTAGTTGCAGAGCTGAAGCATATATCTTAATCCTTAATGACCACACCACCATCCCCAATAGGTTGTCTGCTTGGAGAGTCACGATCCTTCTCTGTCTCTGTCTGTGTCTCCAGCTGGCTTCAACCTTTCTTCTAAGTCATTCCAATTTCTTCTCTTTCGCAGTGCTTCTGACTGCCCTCTGAATGAGTCTGTTAAACGTCACATCTTTTGTATTCACTGTGAAGCTTAATTATGTTTATATTGATAGCGATAGTTCTTAGACCCAATGTCTGGTGTAATTGACACACATTTAACCTGAATGTGCTGTCTTCACACTCAGCATTTTCCTTTGTATTATTGCACTATTTTTAAATTATTGATGACAAATATAGGGGATGAGTCTACCAGGCCCCTCCTTAGTTTTTGTGAAGAATGGCACTGCATTGTATTTCCTCAAGACTTTATGACTAGGCATAAAAATCCTACAAAGGAGGCCTCCCCTGCTGGTGCAGCGGTTGAGCTTGAGCGCTGGGTTGCGAGGCTGCCCGCAGCCTCTGCAGCGCCAGTTCTATCCCTGGCCACCAGCGAGGGTCCCACCAAAAAAAAAAAAAAAATCTTACAAAGGTCAACCTCCCCCTCAAGAATCACTAGCTGCACATTTCACAAACACACACTGCCCTGAAATCAGCTTTGGTGAGCAGAAAGCAGAGGGGGCAGGGTATCTTTGATTGTTCTTAAAGACTCCCAGAATGCAGGTTGCATAAGTTAAATAAAACAGTTCACATAATTTTGAAATCATATGCCTGTATTATCCCAGATACTATACCATAAATTAGATTTCTCTGCTTATGTGTCCATATTTCATACTTGTTCAGTATTTTCCACTGGTTGATGTAAGTGCAGCTCCGGTTGCCAGTTCCCAACCCTCTTCTTTGTACAGGGTTGAACTTCTCATCTTTTTTTTTTTTTTTTTTTTTTAAAGATTTATTTATTTATTTATACAAGCACTGGGTACAGTCAGAAGCACGGGAGGGTGAGAGAATTCACCAGAGCCAGAGCGGGGAGCAGAACAGACAGACCGACGAAACACACTGCTGAGGGGAGCAGCGGGTGCGGCAGGAGAGGTCAGCGCGCCATGTGGGACCCCCACAGGTGGCCGGGGATCAAACCGGCGCTGCAGAGGCTGCTGGCAGCTTCGCAGCCCAGCGCTCAACCGCTGCACCACCAGGGGAGGCCCTGAACTTCTCATCTTAATGTGTTTTATGTTAAAGAAAACATTTTCCTTTGACATTGTCCAAGTGAGAACAGAATTTCCCTCTTAGTACAATGGTCAACCAAAAGGCATGGAAGGGCAGATGGCTGACCTCTGGCTGCATCTTCTCCCTGAATCATATATTAGACATGATTATGGGTGGGACTCTTCTTGAGAAAGATAACATGTTATTTGTAATGTGAACCCAGCAAAGGCTACTCAGAAAGTGAAGTAGGGGTGGAGTTTTGTTGTACCAGTAAGATAATTGAGGGTTCCTAACAAGTAATTCTAAGAATATAAATTCTATAGTTAGAAGACCTTCTGTAAAAAAGTGAATCCAAGAAATAGGTTCATTCTTTCAAAACTCTGCATTGTGTTACAAAAGCCTCCTGCTGCTATAGAGTCTGTCTACCCTACTTTCCTAGTGGAGTGCTCCCAGCGGCCGTAGTTCACTGGCGCCCCCTAGCGGCAGCCAATCCACCTCACATTGGGTTGCCTTAAGACCCCTGCAGTCAACAGGGCAAATTCAATTTCCAGGGGTGGAAACTTAATCTCCAGGACTGGAAGGCAAACACATCTTTTAGATTTTATTCAGGCTTCTTTTTCATTCTTTTTCTCATTTTGTTTTAGGCCAAAGAACTGCCAACTTTAAAAGATAATGATTTCATCAATGAGGGCCAAAAGATTTATATTGATGACAACAAGAAGAAGGTGTTCCTGGAAAAACTGAAGAAGGATGTGGAGGTAAGAAAAATCAGTATAAATGAACGCCCCGTTGTTAAAGTGTCAACAGTGCTGGTTTTGAGGAGCTTTTGGAACCATCTATTTGAATCTGCAACCAAAGCCAACTATTTATTTCACCTTATCAAAATCAGATATAAACCGGTGTATCTCATATTATATGTTTAAAAAAGAAGAGCTCTGGTTCAGCAGCTCTGTGCTCTAGAAGACAAAACAAACAATGCCTGCTGTCTGCCGCTGGGTATCCATAATTAAAGCCCATTCAGACTAACTGCCCTTCCACAGCAAACAGAGTTGCGGTAGGAGGGAATGATTCATTCTGTCAAACAGCACAGCATTTCAAAAATGAATTTGAATGAGAGTTTTTTCCCTTCTAAACCGCATCTCAATGTTGGTAAACCCAGACTCAAGTCACTTTTAATGCTTTAATATTTCTACTAATTACCACAATATTAGTATCATCACGTCCACTGAGCCTGCCCTTCACCGGGGCAGCATGGGGGGTCACAGGGAAGGCTGGTGAGAAATAAAATGCTCTGTGGAAATGGGCTTTCAGGCCATAAGGAAGGAATTTGCTTTTGTTTGTTTTGTTTAAGATATACCTTCTCCTATCCTTTTGTTTGTTGCAAAGGTATTGTAGCTCTCCTATTGAACTTCATTATTTATTCCTTTTAGGAATAAATTCAGAAAATTAAGTTTGTTTCTGGAAATTTATTATGTTACAAGATAATGCCAAGAGAATTCTGTTTTTGACAGAATTCTTACTGAGCTAAGTTTTTCCTAGCTATTACTTTTGTTCGTTTGTATATGCTTTTTTGTTTGTTTTATTTTTACTTTGAAATCTGTTCTCCGTGTACCAATGCAGATCTGATATGTAGAGAAAGGCTTTGTGGAGAGATTCTTTCTCGTGTCATTAAACAAAAACAATTAAAATGACTTGAGCCAAAGAATGCGTGTCATGCATTAGACTGTATTCCCCAGGAGGGCAGAAGCAGCAGTACAATTTCCTTTGTAATCTTCTAATAGACTGATGAAGTCATTTCATAATTATTTTTAGTTTATATGTTAATTTGAATAAAAGATTTTACTTTTTGTTAAATTCAGTTTCAGGTGAACAGCATACTGATTCTGTATGTGCACATATTATAAAATTACCACGGTAAAGCTAGTTAACATCCATCACCACATGTTTTACAAGCAGTTTTTTCTTGTGACAAAAACTTTCAGGATCTACTATCTTAGCAACTTTCAGACATGCAATACTGTATTATAAACTGTAATCACCATGCTGTATATTATATTCTCAGGACTTACCAGTTTTGACCCCCCTCTCACATTATTTTAATCTACATGGTGTACCTAGAACCTAAATATTGGTTTCTTATGAAGGATGCAGCTGTCCACTTTTTTTTATAATGTAGATAGGAATGTTTGCTTTTATCATACAATATTTTTCTCCAGTCTTTCATTAATAATCATTTATTTTTCCTCAGCAAATCTTTGATCCTGAATAATTTTGTTTTAGCACTTATGGTAAATAAGTTAAATAACCTAAGGTTATTTGTGACTGCCAAAGAAATTGTTTTCATCTTTTTTTCTGTTGGCTATATATCGCTGTGATATTTAGACTCCGGAAATAATGTCACTGAAGCAGTTCAAATTTACAGTTGAATTACATAAGGATCCTCTTAGCTCTTTTGTTGTCTCTAATAATGCTGTTGATTAGAAGATTAGGATAGTGTAATCCCATACATGGCTCTTGTATGTAGCTGTTTTGTTGAAATGAAGACAGGGCATAAAGTGTTCTTTTATTAAAAAATATTCTTAATGGTTGATAAAAGTCTCTTTAGTTTTGAAATTCATGCAGAAGCATCATTAAACTTCTAAACAAGTAATTATAGTGAAGTAGCTTGACATCTGATCTTGGTAATGAGGCTAGAATTTAATCTAGTTTAGTTTTTTCATCAGTTCCATGCTTTTCTAATTTAGCTGGCTGGTTTGTTACTTGGAACACATTTTTTTTTTTTTGTGGTTTCTTTTCTGCTTAAAGCTTAAAGTAAAAGATGAGGTCCTTATAGCTCAATAATCTTTTTTCTTTTTTTGAAAAAATGAAAGAATTTTCATTTGAGAATCTAGCAATTTTTTCACTGGATTTAAGATCCTGTTCTATTTGTGTGCAGGGTACTTTAATAGATAGTTGCACATAGCTAAATTATGTGATCCCTTCCTTCCAAAATAAGTGCTGTATGGAGAGTGAAAATCACTATTGCCTTCTGACTGCTTATTGGCGACTCTAATCATGACCAGGGAGAATTGACACTGATTTCTCCTGTCACTGGCTCACACTGAGATCCAAAGTCACACAGGGCAAAGGTGCACTCTCCTCAGATGTCCAGGAGTGCCTTGTCTTAGGGCCTCCCTACTGTCACATTTGTGGTCCAACAATGTTGGAAATTGGTGAGAGGGGTGGGGTGGTAGGTGTATGCCTTCAGGCATGTGTGCTGGGGATGCTGGCACCCAACAATTAGGGAGCAGGTGGGTCCCAAGTGCTTCAATGTTCTCTTTTAATTCTTAAAACAATGCCTCAAGTATGAGTATCATTATTACTTATTCCAGTTTGAAAGAGGAGAAAACCAAGTCCAGTGTCACTATGTTACATTCTCAAAGACACACAGCTACTAAATTCAGACTGGGATTTCAGCTCATCGGCGACACATGCCTAAGTGTGCTGATATAACATGCAAATTTAAAATGTTTGTGAGAGCACAGTTCAGACTTTGTTTTCTAATAAATGCTCCAAAGGAGGATTATTATACCTTTCAACAAGTGGTAAAATCTAACTGTTAAATAGGACTGGTTGGAATTTTAATTCTCCATCACAGATGTGTTGGAAGGTAGGTGGAAATTCAGTAAGAACAAACGTGTTAATAAAATAGCAAGTAATGTTAATTTAAATCTGTTGTTAAGGAGAATTTATTAACTGCTCTTTTGCCGCATAATTTTCTGGAAGAGTTTGTGACAAGGTTTATAAAGATTTTGAGGAAGATACTAGCTCAGAGATTAGGCATAATGAGGAATTAATCAGATTAGGTGGGCTATTCTGAGGGAAAGAGAGGCAGATCAAAGGTCTGGCAGGTAATTAGTTACTAAGAAGCCAAAAGCAGGAGACCTAACAATTATAAAGATTTAAAAATCTTTGTGCTTTGAAATCTTACGTACTTAAGAAAAAAAATCAATAAATTTAGTCAGCAGCTTAAAGGGATGAATAGAAAAAGAAGCAAGTGTGTATTAAATTCTTAACATGGGCTGGAGGCAAACATAAGAGGGGCCCTTGACCCGCTTTTTTCTCCTCTAAATCCAGAAGCTTCAAGTCTACAGTTTGGTGATACCCAATAGGAATTTTCTCTAACAAGAATCTTGGCTTCACTACAATACCTCAGTTCACTCTGCTTCAGAAGAGATTTAAAATAAAGTCTGTGAAGATAAAAACTAGAACAGCAACAGCCTTTTCCACACATTTTCCCTCCTGGCCCACCTAATAGGAACCCTCTCCCAAGTTTCAATTGCATATTTGATGCAAGAAGACCTTTTCCCATAATCACGACTCCATGGACAATCATCGTAATGGCTATCATTGTCACATACGTCACTGTTCATTTCCTCCTCTACGTTATTTCTCCCTGCACCCTGTGGGGTGTGTTATCCCATTTTGAGTTAGAGTGATTGAGCCTCAGAGAGGTGGGCTCATTGTCAAGATCTGGAATGAGTGAGTGAGAAAATATAAAATATATCTCCCATCTGACTCCAAAAACTATACCTTCTTTTTTTTAATTGTCTGATACTTTAATTAAAGAAGAATAAATGGGTTACCCTTTGCCTCAAAACCTGGATTCTTAACCACTGGCTGTCCTTGGTCTTTTCCATTTCTAGTTTGGTCTCACAGATTTGAGAATGTAATTCTCAGATGGGACTGCAGTTGGTCTCCTCAGTCTCTTTGGGTATATCAGAATAGCTTCTTAGCTACAGATGCAGTTTTGATTTCACTGATGGTTCGCGGTAGTGCTGGGAGCTGGCTATACTTTTCTATATCAGATGCAAACATTTCCTTATTGGAAGAGGAGCGTAATCATCAGTCTAACTGGGCAGAGTGACAGAACCAGAAAAGGCAGGCAGGAACAGGGTTTAAGACACCCCAGAGATGGATGGCCAACTGTAGGGTAAAGAAAATATCAGGCTTTTCTGCCCTTCCGCCATCAGGATAGATGATGGATCCTTGTCCTGAATGCATGCCTGATGGTGGGCATCTGGAATAGGGTGTGGGCATAGGTAGATGGGATTCAGCTGAGCTAAGACTGTGCTTTTAAGGGCGGCGTCACGGGGGGACGCCAGCAGCCCCAGCCAGCAGCAGCAGAACCTGAAGGAGAAGCCGAAGCAGAAGCAGAGAACGCCAGAGAGCCCAAATAGAGTGAAGACTTGCTGGGGGCTGGGAGGCCTGCCAGCCTCCCAGCCCCCCAGCCAGCACCCCTGCCTGCCATATGCCTGGTGAACCCCTAATAAAAAACCTGCAAAACTACTGAGAACTCTGACTCCTCCTTTACCCGGTCTGCATGGGATCAGAAAACCTGCACCGTGTCCAGTCCTGACCTTACAATTGGCGTATGTCGGCAAGATCCATGCAGACGGGTATTGGAGCCCTCCGAAGACCTGGAGGGACTAAGGAGAACAGACTTTGCCTGTGACGACGCTGGAGGCACCATGGCGGTATAGAAGATGGATACGTCCACGAGCTACAGGATGAGACCTGGCGTGAAGGAGATGCCCGAAAGGACCAGCCAACGACACCGGAAATGACCAGCCAACGACACCGGATAGGACCAGCCAACGACACCGGAAAGGACCAGCCAATGACCCCTGAGGCAGCAGGCCATTGCTGAAGCAGGGAGAGGCCAATGGACTGATAGACTGATTAACTGATGATTTTGGACTGACAATCCCGCCAGAAGGCGGAGGACCTTAGCAGGTTATGTTTATTTTTTGAGAATCTGGGGGTGGCCAGTGGGCCTAGATGGCCAAAAGCAGCCTGTGTATGCCCAGTGGCCAGGTGGAGGAGAAAAGCCAACTAAGGTGGCAAAAGCTGGTACTGATGCTAAGTTGAGAAGCCCTAAAGCGGCTGTTAAGCAGCCTGGGTATGCTGAAGCCCTGTGAGTCTCGTAAAATCACCTATGGGTGATGCCCTGCTCATTCTTGAGTGAGGGTGAGGAGCTGAGGAGCCCGTCCTTGGGGGACGGGTGGGGAATGTGGCTTGGGGTGGAGCCCAAGCCAAATGCAAAGTTTGGATCCCCAACCCATGTGCTTGTGCAGTGGGTTGGCTTGAGAGCAGGGGTCTGTGAGTCGCATGGGTGGCCATGAAGGCCGAGTGTTGGAGCGACTGCAGACAGAAACCCTGAGGGTTGGCGATTACCCCCAACAGAATAAAATTGCCAATCCCAGAGCTAGTGCATCCTGGGGGTGGATGCTGTGTGTGCCTTGTGCCGAGACTACAGCCAGAGAAGGCCAGGAAGCCTGACGGCTCCTGGTGTGTTATAGCAGATACCGTGTGTGATTTCCCCTCCCTCGTATGAGCAGTGCCTTCGGCAGCAGATTTGGTGGCTCATCTGCTGGTACCAATAATTGTCTTTTGCACTTGGTTGGTGCCCTGCCTGGACTTATTTGTGTTCTGTTGTATTTTGTTATGTTGTATTTTGTTATTTGATGTATTTGCTTTTGTGGGCCATGGCTGCATTGTTTGTTTGCTTAGAAAATTGTGTATATATGTATAGACTGTATGGCAGAAAACCCTGAGGGGGTGGACTGTAGGGTAAAGAAAATATCAGGCTTTTCTGCCCTTCCGCCATCAGGATAGATGATGGATCCTTGTCCTGAATGCATGCCTGATGGTGGGCATCTGGAATAGGGTGTGGGCATAGGTAGATGGGATTCAGCTGAGCTAAGACTGTGCTTTTAAGGGCGGCGTCACGGGGGGACGCCAGCAGCCCCAGCCAGCAGCAGCAGAACCTGAAGGAGAAGCCGAAGCAGAAGCAGAGAACGCCAGAGAGCCCAAATAGAGTGAAGACTTGCTGGGGGCTGGGAGGCCTGCCAGCCTCCCAGCCCCCCAGCCAGCACCCCTGCCTGCCATATGCCTGGTGAACCCCAAATAAAAAACCTGCAAAACTACTGAGAACTCTGACTCCTCCTTTACCCGGTCTGCATGGGATCAGAAAACCTGCACTGTATCCAGTCCTGCCCCTTACACCAACCTTTCCAAGCCCCGAGGCCGTGTTAGAATTTGTTTCTGCCCTTGAAGAAATGAGACACCCTTGAAAGGTCTTAAGCAGGGGCAGGACAGGGTCAAATTTGGGCACCATCTTGGTCTGTGAGCCCAGGGTCAGAGTGGCACTGGAGCCTGTGCAGAGGCAACCAGCTGGGAATAGGGAACTATTTAGTTGCAGACAACAGATGGGCTGCCACATTTTGCCCTCAACAATACCATCCACATTTTAATTGATCAATCAGAATATTATACCTAAGATCATGTGTCCGGGTACATCAACTGAAAAACAGGGAGAGGGGAAAAAAATCACAACAAAAGGTCAAAAAAGAGCTTGGCAGACAGGAGTAGCCAAATCTATAGCTCAGCCTTGCCCCCAACCCCAGCATTCTAGCAGGAGAGGGAGGGCGAGCGGGAGTTCTGGGCCCTTGCTACCCCACGGAAGGCAGCCACCCTCAGCGCATGTGGTCTCCCGGCCTCCATCAGAAGGGAGCCTGTCCGGGACAGGAAGTCTGCATTATTGGCCAGAACGCCGACACAGGCATTTGCTGGTCAGTGGGGACTTTGGGGCTTTTAATTATTTGTGACAAACTGCTTAATAATCTTAATAATCTTAATAATCTCCGCAGTGAGTGTGCTGAATTTCAGCATGCTTTCACAAGCTGCCCCGAGAGTGTGCTGGAAGCCACTGGGAGGTCCCTGCTTTTCCCCACTAGCCTGTCTTGATAGTTGAGAGAAACTTTCTCTTCCCTCCCCCAGATCTTTCTTGTCAGTCATGCTATCTGCAATTTGGTGTAATTCAATTTTGATGTAAAAAATGCATGCCTCTCGGCTTCCAGCTTGGCTTTTCAGGGAAAATAATACCAGCTCTGAGCCGGCCCCTCGAGTGAGGCTCCGTCCTGGGACCTCGAGCACATCATACACCAGGCTCCTTGATTCTGCTGCCTCTGAGCTCACAGCCTCCCCCCAACATGCATTTTTCTGAGCTTGTTTCTTTAAATCTGGGGTTTGTTTAAGGCATTACTGACCATGTAGTCTCCTGCCCCGCAGTTTCTGGCCCAGCTGAAGCTCATGGACTACAGCCTGCTGGTGGGAATCCACGACGTGGAGAGGGCGGAGCAGGAAGAGGTGGAGTGTGACGAGGACGGAGAGGACGAGGGGGAGAGTGATGGCACCCACCCTGTGGGGACCCCCCCGGACAGTCCTGGAAATACACTGAACAGCTCACCACCCTTGGCTCCAGGGGAGTTCGATCCCAGCATTGATGTTTATGGAATTAAATGCCATGAAAGTAAGCTGAGTTATTATCCATGCTTTTCACCTGGTTTGCTTTTTGTATTATTATCTACCAGAACCAGAACCCCCATTAAAAATCATGCTGCCCTGAAAGACTCACTCTCCAGAGTCCTAAAAAATTGACTTGGGCCAGAGTATGTTAAAGGTCCTGAAAGGTGGTATGATGGGGCTCTTAAATTTGGTGATGTTGAGGGTATAGTGTGACAGGTGGGAAACTATTTTACATGGTCAACACACCCATGCAGACACTTCTATTAACATAAGTAAGATATAGTAGAGATGTTTTAAAGGTTTTTTTCTTAGTTATCTCTCTTTTACATGAATCGAAAGCATCATGAGTCGGTCCTGAGCTGGGACCTACGTGGTCCAGCCTGCACCTCCTGCATCTTCCTGCAGGGCAGGCAGTTCATCACTAACATCCCTTTCCTTATCAGGTGCACAGAGCTGGCGCAGGGTGTGGGGTGAATTTCTGCTCCCAGCCCCACTAAGGGGCTGTCACCCCCATCTCTAAGAGTGGGAATAAGCCTCATCCTCACTATCTGGGTGATTGGATCTTTGGAGGGATATTATATTCTATCATAGCTACTTGTACATGAAAAAATGTTTTGTGGATTTGATAAAAGCAGATCTCTTTTTGAGTAATAAAAATTGTAACTCATCATAGTTTTTTAAAAAATCTCCAATGATATATCCATCAAGTGAGTTTAAGTTTTGATTTCACTCACCAAAATTTGTTGTTCAACACAGAAAATTAGATACAGCCAAATGTACTTTTCTTATTCATAATCGAAACATATTTGTGGAAATATGTAGGTGATAGATATCATAGAGGATAGGTGCTACGTCCAGCTCTGATTTTAGATCCAGTGAAAATTCTGAAGTTACAGATAATGATAGAAAAGGATTAAGGAGCATAATTCTACTGGCTTTGTTACAAATTTTAAAAATAAGATTTTTTTTTTTTACACAAAAGCAATATACAGAAGTTAAAGAAAATGAAGATTAGCAAAAAATAAAAAATATGCTCACCCTTAGATCTCTGCTGCCGACATCCTGGGGTAATATGTAATATCCTCTTTAAAAAAACTTTTTACATTGACAGAATGTGGTTCAGAGAGTTAGCCTGATGGGAATGTGTAGGAACTGCATGGGCTCCTGTCCTCTTAGTTTCCCAGCTCAACCCTCGTCCTCAGAATCCCTCAGTCCCAGCCCAGCATCTGCCTCCCTCAGCCTCGTGTACCTTGCCAGGTATTGTGCTACAATCATTGCTCTCATCTCTTTGCAGACTCGCCTAGGAAAGAGGTGTACTTTATGGCAATTATTGACATTCTGACTCATTATGATGCAAAAAAGAAAGCTGCCCATGCTGCAAAAACTGTTAAACATGGCGTAAGTATCCCTGGTCCCTAAAGCTCAGAGCTGCCCCCTCCCCTCTGAGAGGCTCAACCTCCTTTGGAGGTTCTGGTTCCCTGCAGGGGGGTCATGTTCAGAGAGCAAGACCCCCAGCCAGCAAATGATACCACCCTCACACCTGCTTCCCTGGCTCTGGGCAAGTTGCTATAAACTTGATCTTGGTTCTTTTTACACACTGGGGATATAAATAGACATGTGCATCATTAGAATTTTATACAACTTCTTCGTGTTTCAGAGATAAGAGAACTGAAGGCAGTTAAGTGTTCTGAAGGACTATTCTCTGCTTCAGACACTTCCAAAATGTTCTGCATTTTATTTTCTTACAGTGAATTGCATTTTCTTTATTGAGGTTTCGTTCACTTACAGCAGTCTATGATTCAGAGATATAGGGCCACCATAATCTGCTATTACAGAAGTCTTTTGAGTGCAAGATCAAAGTTTAATAATAGGAATTCCTCACCATTATTGTGCTTGCTCAGAATTATCCCTGTTCCACACATAATCCAACTTGTTGAACCCCCGTGGCAAACTCGTGAGCCATACTAGTGTACCCCTACTTATCAGTTAGGAAGAGAACTTAGATGGTAACTTGCCAGGGTCACATCACTAGGCAGTGGAAGAGATGGAACCCCCCAGGACCTAGACAGGTCCCCCACTCTGTTCTAATGCCCACTCCCCCACACCACTAGTGAACCCCCCCAGCCCCCACCTGGTTAACTTCACAAATCATGAATACCCATTGTACTTATACTGTTAGGATCCACTTTGACCTTCTAGGTGTTTCCAGCATACCATAAAGCCCATCCCAAACAGGTAAACTTGTGCCCTGGCTCGTCCACACTGCAAGCAGAGGTGCCTCTCCAGGGAGTGTATAAAACCAGCCAAGTCCATGAGAACATCAAAGTCTGTTAAATACTCTTTGTCTCTATTTCAAAATCCAATAGGCTCTCATCCTAACAATAGAATTAGCCTAAAACCATATTCCATTTGCCACAGAAATATTTCAGCAGCTACATCTGGTGTCCCTGCCATGTGTAGAACATGGACCAGGACCTCACCACAATGGAAAAACCTATGTCATTAAGACTGAGCACAATGGAAAAACCTATGTCGTTAAGAGAGGGGGTGGGTACACAGTGAATCGCCCCGGCAGCTATCATTACATCCTGCTGAGTGCTGTTTATAAAATCCGTGCATGCCAATGCACCATGCCATTTGCCCTTTCCCTGATTCTGAGTCCATTCATGTTGGGGGAGAAGACTCTAAAAGGCTCTGTGGGACTTCTGATGCACACCTCTGGTTGAAACCACGGGCATGTTGCAAAGACAGAACAGGGTTGGAACCCCCCCCTCTTCCCAGTTGTATGACCCTGAGGAAACACTTTGGAGCTTTGGCTTCCCCAGCTGATAAAGGGGTCCTAATGTCAAGCTGATGTGGTTCTGTGGGGAACACATGAGGTGAACAGGCTGAACATGAGGGAGATGCTTCATGTCTGTTCCCATCCCTCCTCAAACCTACCGTAAGATTATATACCCTGCAGAATTGGAAATGTTCCACAGCAAACATGGCTTCATTTTAGTCTCCCCTATCAGTCACCACCTCGGCTCCATAATGCACCATATGGCCTAAAACCATGTGCCGTTTGCAGGAACAAGACATTACTCTTAGCAAAGGAATGTTGTACTGAGATGCTGCTGGGAAATATGCTCTGCCTTCAAGGCCTGGGTTCCTTCATGAGATCCTAGCAATAGCAGGCCAATTACAGGCTCTGCGGTGAGCATGGTGTCTAAAAATCGCACCTGGTGACTTAGTAAAGCTCTGGTCTTGCCCTTGGCAGCTCAGGAAACTAGCCAGTAATGACCCTGGGCCTGCTCGCTGCCACTGCACTGTTGATAGGAAATCCCTGGCTGAGCCTCTGCCAAGGCCTGGCTTCAGGCAGGTCTCTGTAAAGGGGAACAATGGCGCCCCTGTGCCCTGTGCAGAAGGAAGCAGCCCCTGGCCCTCTGGGGGAAGCAGTCAGCAGGGTTGTTTCACTTGGTTGTGGTGTCAGGAAAGAGCCCAGGGCAGCTGACACGGTCCCTACCGCTGCTGCCACCACTCCACTCATCTCTGGGCTCTTTTCCTCCCTGCATCTGGACGATGGACACCATCCTATGTCATGGTCTTCAGTTTCCCTTTAGCCAAAGATTGATGATTGTGTCATTTTTTTAAAAGATTTGTTTATTTATGCATACAAGGACTGGGGTACAGGTCAGAGGTGCGGAGGGTGAGAGGATTTGCCAGAGACAGAGTGGGGAGCAGAACAGGCAGATGGACGGAAATACACTGCTGAGGGGACCAGCAGGCGAGACAGGAGAGGTCTGCTGCGCCATGTGGCCGGGGATCGAACTCTTGCTGCAGAGGTTGCAGACAGCTTCACAGTGCTGTGCTCAACCCCTTGCGCCACCAGGGAGGCCTGATTGTCTCATTGTATCTCCAATCTGTTTTCTTGAAAAACCCAAGTATTATCCCTGTGGCTTCTAAACATAAGCGCAAGGATCCACTGTTTGTTAAGAACAGCCCAGACATGGCTGCTTCAATTTTTTTTATTTTGTAGCAGTCACAGTATATGCGCTAAGACCATCGACTGTTCTGCGACTGGGCCTGATTTTCACACACAGATGCCTAAGAACCTTGATTATTCAGACACAATATCCTTGATGTTTTGGATTATATTTTATGACTAGATGCTGCACAGATTTGAAAATCATTAGCTTTATGCTCCACTGCAATCAGAAGTTGTTGTAGATCCTGAGTAATAATTATATCAATGTTCCTCTGCTTAAAAACTGCCAGGCTGGTGCGGAGATCTCAACCGTGAACCCGGAACAGTATTCAAAGCGCTTTTTGGACTTTATTGGCCACATCTTGACGTAACCTCTTACACAGCCTTGGACAGACACAGGCGTGGGAAGGACAGAGGTGGCTTCGGTGGAAGAAAAATGAAAACCAAACTCAGTGGAGCACACCTCCTCGTTTACATCTTCAGGCCAAGATGACTGATTTGGGGGCTACTTGCTTTAACAGCTACCTGATATTTCCCAGCACCGTTCTTAGCTATTTCTGATTTTGTGTGTGTGTGTGAGTGCGTGCACGCACGTGCGAATCTTAAAAAGTAATTAATTAATTAATTAATGAAAACTGATCAGCTTCAATCAGTGTGTTTGGCAACAGCCCTCTGATTCCAGCTGTGGACGAATGAATGAATGAATGAACTAATGAATGACTGTGCACCTGCGGGGTGGGGGAGGGTAGAAGGAAATGCATGCCAGACCAACCATGTTGGCATCGTGGGATAAACTGTGGATCGGTTTATCTTTTGGAGTTGAAAGATGTGAGACAGTATTCATAATAATAATGAAGATAATAATAATGATGATAATAATGATGTGATTAAAAGGAAAAAAATTTACTGCGAATGTTACACTTCTGCCACGCACGCTGACTCTCCTTGATAGTTGTTCCTCCAGCCCCTGGCACTAGAGGGAAGAGCTCGGGGCATCTCCTGTGTGCTCTCGCTCAGGGTCCTGCCTCCATAGTCTGTCAGGACTCGCAGTGTCCAGGAACAGATTTCCTCCTCCAGCAAGAAGCTGATGCCCTTAGTGACTCTCTCTGTACATTTTCACCTCAGTCAATATGTCCAGGAAAGCCGCTTACTTCTCTTTTCTTGCCTGGAGCTTCTTCACTATTATACTCTTATGTTGCAAGATAGGACTTAATGCTACAAAATAAAAATAAAGCTTACCTGAAAAGTGCATAGTTTTGGGCAATGGTATCTACATCTCCCGCGGTGGGAAGGTGAGCAAAGCATTAGAAATCTTAATTCTGTTACCGACGGCAAATCTGAATTATAAGATGTTCATGTTTGACCATTGTTTCAACAGTGGTATTTTGTTAGGAATTATCCCTTTAACCGAAACCCTCAATTTTACTGTTTACATTATTAGGAAAACAGGGATATTTTTGAATCTAAAAATTTAATGTACAGCATGTGATTTTTGAAGTTTACATGTAAAGTCATTTTACAGTGTAGGTGAAATGTTTGTCATATTTTGAAATGTACCCTGCAGTCATGTTTTTGGGTGAATGTTTTCTTCAAAGTACATGATAGGCAGTCTTTTACAGTGAAGGAAAAGGATTGTTTTGTTTCCTCCAGATGTACATTTATCAACCTAATAATTTTTTCAATGTTTAACCCAAATCTGGTTATGTAAGTTCATTGCCCTAAACTGTGCTGATTGTGTTTAATCGAGTTATAAATTTCCAACATCGATCATGTATTTACCAACTTTCCAGCATTTTCTGAAAAGTGTAAGGCTAAGATATTAGACTAGCTTAGAGTAGGTTACAACTTATACACTGTGCTAAAGCTGTGCCTTTAAAATCCTTAGTTTAAAGTGGGATGGTTTTTGTAGGCAATTTCAGAAAAGAAAAAATCCACTCTTTAATAATTACTTACAACTCAATAAATATCCCCTGTTCTTTGCCTCTTCCAATACCTTTACTTCAGGGCTACTCAAGATTGCAGTTGTGCCCAGTGCACTCAGTGTACATGGGTTCCCTTCAGAAAACTCGAGGCAACAGCAAGTCCTTGCCTCTGGAAGCGAGCAACAGCGCCACCCCACTTCTGTCCACTGACTCCGCCTAGATTTGTTCTCCTCCACAAGTGATCATATCACATCGTTGTGATGTGGCTGTCTGAATCTGTGTTTTATGCATTGAATTAATTGAGACTGTGATTTCCCCACGCACACACACCCCCCTACCATTCATTCTGACACATCACTTTAAGTGTTCTGAAGTTACTCTGGTTTCTTTACCCCAGACTATAAAAGTCCTACAAAAGACTCTGAAGTAAAGATAATGTATGTATCCATACATTATTTGAGTAACCATTTCCTTTGTGGCCAATCTATGTATGCTTTTAGAAGTTTACAAAATGCTTTATTTTTTTGTCTGTAAGAGTCTCTGTCATTCTTTTCTGTGGATGAACTGTTTGGACAGAGTGAGGAAGTTTGCCTTGTATCTCCTAGTGCTAACAAGACACTCCAGTCATGAGCCAGGCTTTACAAAATAAAGCACTTTGATGACTCACAGGTGAAGCCTTTGTTTTTCTCTCCATTGTGTTTCTCTCTGCGAACAAATTTTAAATACTCAGTATTAAAAGTATTAAGAGTATCTGTAGCTGATCCTTGAAGAAGTGAAAGTAAAATGGAATCTTCATTAACTGAGCTTTGCCTTACTATTTTATTAGTAAATGATACAGACATCAAGTCAAAAACTAGTATCTGTTTTATCAGTTTTGAATATCTGATGGTTTGGCAGTTTTGGGATGGCCTGCATAAAAACAGACAGTGGTTTGGAAAACAGACTATTGAATCTCTACCCCACTCCACCCACTTTGGCACAGAGCACACAAAAAGCACAGTGACCTGCTCCCCAGTAAAGGAAAGTTAAGTGATGTGGTCTTCTGTATAACGCCAGTCCATGAACACTAGGACAAGTTCCTGTTTTATCTACTACACAGACACTAAGAGGGTCGAGGAGAAGGAACAATCAGACAAAGATGTTCCAAAGGAAAGACGAGACTTGTATGCAGAATTCATAAAGAACTTTTATAATTCAATAAGGGACAAGTTTTAAAATGAGGAAAGAATTTCTATTTATGTTTCTCAAAAAAAGATAATACAAGTAATCAATCGCTTGGAAAGACACTGAACAGCATTAGTTATTAGGGAAATGCAAGTCAAAACCACAAATCACACCCACTAGGGTGAATGTAATCAGAAATAGACAATAATAAGTGTTGGGCCTCCCTGGTGGCGCAGGCGGCTGAGCGCCGCACTGTGAAGCTTTCGAAGCCTCTGCAGCGCAGGTTCGATCCTGGCCAGCTGGAGAGAAACTCACATGGCGCAGCAGACCTCTCCTGTCTCGCCCGCTGCTCCCCCCAGCAGTGTATTTCGTCAGTCTGCCTGTTCTGTTCCCCACTCTGTCTCTGGTGAATTCTCTCACCCTCCCGCACATCTGGCCTGTACCCCGGTTCTTGTATAATAAATTAAAAAAAAAATAAGTATTGGCAAAGATGTGGGGGAATTGTAACCCTGGTTATAATTGTAACCCTGGTAGAAATGTCAAATAGTGCAGCGACTTGGGAAAACAATCTGGAAGTTCCTCATCATTAAAAGTAAGTTACCATATGACTCAGAAATTCCACTCCCAGGTATATACCCAAGAGAAAGACTCTGTTCCTTTTGGAAACCTCGGGAAAACCATTCCATACCTTTTCCAGCATCTAGAGTCTGCATGCAGATGTGCATGTGGCCCCTCCTGCCACCTTCCAATCAGAAGTGTGGCATCTTCAAGTCTCCCCCTCCTGTTATCACATCTTTATTACATTAGCTAGTCATCTGTCTTGTACATTTTTTTCCAAAGAAGCAGAATTTTGATTCATGGGCTTGATCTTTTTTCTGTTTTTAATCTCAATTTTCACTTTGACCTTTTGTTTTCTTTTTATTTATTTTATTGTTTTTTTCCCTGGATTTTTTGAATTAGAAATCTAATTCATTTATTTTCATTTTTTAATTTACTTATGTATTCAGAGCTGGGAGTTTTCTGTTTATCCTTGCTTCATGTATACTCTTGATTTATAGTCTTTTCATTTCAGTATTTTTCAAAAATTTTATAGTTTTTATGTTTTTCTTTTACCCCAGGAGTTGTTCAATACATTTTTTTAAAACTTTAGGTGGAAATGCCTTTTGTTTTTAGATTTTCAGCTTCTGACTTTATTGTATTGCACTAAAAAGCTGATAGTAATATTTCCCTTTGATGAAACTTATCAGTTTTTTTCTTTGTGCCCTAATATATGATCACCTTTCAGAAATATTGATGTATATTTTAAAAGAAAAAAATATATACTCTATTGTCTGGGAGTGGTGTTTGATATTTATACAAAGGATCTGCCTTATGCTTTAGATCTTTTATATCTTTACTTAATTTTTTGTCCACCTGACCTATCCCGACCCAAGCTACTCTGTACTGAGAATAGTCATTCTCTCATTTGCTTTTGATGTTGTTGCATCTATTTCTCCTTGAACTTCCTGTAGTTTCTGTTTAGTATAGGGGTTTGCTAAATTATTTGTTTCATAGATATTTATAACTGCTATGTAATCACTTTGAAATGTGGCTATTAGTATTATAAAGTTATTTTCTGTCTTATTTAACACTTTTCTGTTACTTGAATTTTATGATACCATGACCCCAGTCTCTTATTATTTCCATTTCCCTGATAAATCTTCCAGCCCTTTATTTTCTGTCTTTTGGAATCACTGCATTTTTAGGTGAGACTCTTCTATACAGCACAGAGTTGTGCCTTACTTTAAAGCCAATTTGAATTGGCAAGTTAAAGCCCCTCAGCTTGCATTTATTTTTGTGACCAAAAAGTTTGGTCTTAATTCTCTCATATCTTATGTTACAGTTTGTCTATGTGTTTCATGTTTACTGTGTCTATTTAGTGTGTTCGTATCTTAAATTTTCTTTGAGCATTTTGGAAGTTTTGCACTTTTAGTCTCTTGATTGCCTTGGTATCAATAACTTTCATAGTGTTCTAACCTCCCCTTTTAATACTTAATCTCTTTCTATCTAGAAATATATATAATTATATGTACATAGCAATATGTTGTTTTATTCTACTTCCCCTCTCCTCATCCCATTTTGAGTTGCATTATTTCTACTTGTTCAGAATATATAACATCTATTATTCTGACACACATAATCTCACCCTTATTTTCACATTAGCTTTGCAAAGCATAGGGAAGTCGACATCAGTCCTTTTGCCAGTTTCCCCAATCACCTCTTATTGTATGAAGCACATTCCCTAGTGCAAGAGTAGCCAAGATTTTCAGTAATAAGCCTGATAGTAAATATGTTAGACTTTGTGAATATCTGTCAAAAATATTCAGTCTGACGTTGTAGTGTGAAAACAGCCATAAACAATACATAAATGAATGTGACTATGATCCAATTGGATTTACAGAAACGAGCTGCAGGTTAGATTTGGCTCATGGCTGTGGTTTGCTGCTCCCTGCTGTGATGGTTAATTTTATGTGTCAGTTTCACTGGATCACAGCGTGCCCCGGTATTTGGCTAAATATTAT